ATCGCATTGAGGAACGCTCCGAGACACAAATGTTTGCTGAGGCATTAGAAAATGTACAGACATCCAGGAAAAAGAGAAAGAAGAAAGATCGTGCAGTCAAGAGGGCTCTTCTTACTATTTAAATGTATGCAATTTTTTCTAATACAAAACTTAATATTTGAACTTGTGTTTTATGTAAAGACCACAAAATGGTACATGTGTTCAAATTTTGGAAGTGCTTATCATTAGAGCACAAGTTTCAGGTAGCTGCTCACCTTTGTCAATTTTATTACTTTATGCATGTAAAATGGATTTATATAATGGTTAAGACAAATGTGTTTATCATAGTGCTATAAGACCTTTGATGTTTAAGTACTAAGGCATAAAGGGTAAATATGAGTTGATGATTAAACAAAGTTTGTGTGATGTCTAAGGTTGTAGAGCACTACAAAAGGTAATGCAGAGATTAATAAAAGGGGGATGTGCAATTAGATCAAAATGAGGGTATCTAAGCATCAAAAGAAGGAGAACAAGTTGTCAACGGAAAAGGTGGGGATTCATAAGGATGTCCATGCTGGAGAGAAAGGACGAGTGAGGAAAAGCAGAGGTACTGGCTGTAGTAAAGCGGTGATGGTTCAACAGAACGTGTAGGATTGAAAGAGGAACCATTTTGAAGCAATTAATGGGTAATAATGTAGAAATAAGTGTTGGAGTAGTAGAAGCAACAGAGGAGGTAGGCAAGGGACTAGGAGGAGTTGGAATATCAGGAATGTCAGGAAGAGGATCTCTAGGGAAGGACACTTGTGATAGACAAAAGGGAGGCACATGAGCATCCAGGAGGAAGTAGAGGGGATAATGAATGGTGAAGAGGAGGATGTGAGGGAAGAAGTGAAGCAGAGAGAAGCGGAGTAGGGAGAACATGAGGAGGAGGATGGATATCTGCAGTCACTTTGAATGTAATAAGAGAGATTGGAGGGCGGGTGAGGGAGAGGAATCTTCAAAGTTTTTGATGTTCATCAGTTTCTGGAGAGAAGTTGGGTAGGGGAGGTCTGAGAATGAAGGTTTTCTTACAAGGAGAAGAGGAGACATGGCCAAGGAGTAGGTAGGAGGTAGAAGACAGGGTTAGATGTCAAAGATAGTGTTAGAGTATGAAAGGAAAAAAAGGTAAAGAAGGGGTGCAAAGCAAGTAAATTGCAAATTAGTATAGGAAAGGTCTAAAGGCATGGAAAATTGGATGAAATGTGAAGTGCATCTGTGGCTGGGGAAGCACTAAAAACGTTTACAGAAAACTGGCAAAAGAGGTATTATAAAGCAATAAAAGAAATAAGGATAGAGATGGCTGTTGAAATAGAAAACAGGGACTGGGAAAGGAGCAGAGTGGGTGTAGGAGAGGATGTGGTAGGTGATGTAGTGGAACATTTAGATTGCCTAGTGTGAGATACAGTGAGAAGGAGTAGTGATTGAGACTGATCTGGATTTAGAGTGGAAAAGGAATTTGAGTGGTTGGGAGTACAGGGAAGAGATACAGAGGGACACACTGAGACATCTTGAGATACAAGGGGAGCAGAGCAAAGGACAGTTTTGGAATAAGTAAAGGGGGAAAACTTTGTCAATATGCTTCCTGTCTGGCCTCTCGTAGAGTGAGGCCTAGTTTAAATCTGAGAACTGCTACCTCATATTCGAGTTTATAGGCTTGGCAGTTCCTATAAATTACATAATGGGAGCCATCACCATTGGCACAAGTATGTGACTGAGCAATTTGAATGGTCATGTCCTGGTTGGGCACATAGAGGGAAGCAGGCTGTGGACTAAGTGTTTGGCTGGGTGGCCAAAATGTCAACATTTCTGCCATTGACAAGGGAGGGGTCAATACAGTTGGACAGGGTAAGGCACCACCAATTTAACCCACTAGCGACAGTACATTTCGGTTTCCGGGCAGTATCAAAATCATGCTGGCCAGTCCAGGAACCAGCCCTGCACCACCCGCCACAGGCGACAAAATTAGAGTGCAAGCTCCGATCTAGTGTCACACCGGTGGGATAGCCAGCAATGTTTATTTTTCCAGGTGTCACATATGTATGACACCCAAGGAAGGCATGTCTATGGAAGCTAAACAATTGGTATAAGACTTACTGGCCTCTGGGATAAATAATGTAGCACTATACTACCACTGCACCATAATCAACAAGGCAGGTAAATAGGTCAATTTCACATTCTGACCAATCTTGTTATAGATATGACAATTAGTTGGGGATACAAAAACAGTTCCAATACATGTATTAAGAACGGAGTGAGGTTTGGCAGGAACAGGTTTGCCAGTAAGGTCAGTCTGGGTAGATATTTATTTATTTATTGAAAAATTTCTGCCACATCAACATCTAAGGTCATTAGCGGCGTACAAAATATAACAATACGGTCAGGCTTGAGGGTGAAGCCCACAGGTAAGAAAAGGTCATACAGAATTATAAGTATTGTAGCAAAAAGGTTACAAATGAGTTAACAATTAGGACATAATATGTTAGATAAAGGTTGTACACAGCTGTTGGTTAGTATGGTAGTGAAAAGGGTAAAGAGGAAATAGCAAACTGAGTAAAAAGGGTGTTCAGGACTGACACAGCCAGACTTTCATCCTTTCAGCATGGCTCTCACACTTTAGGATGTGGAAAGAGGAATGAATGAAGAAGAGAAGGAAAAGGAAAGGAGAAGAAAAGACCATGCAAAATGAGTTGAGGAGAGGGCTGAAGTCCAAGGCAGTGGTGATCCCCTACATAGGGCTCAGTCCCTGTCTCCTAATCCCCCCATGACAACAAGCATGGGATTGGGGGGTTCAGGGTAGATAGTGCACGAGCTTGGGATTCAGATGTAATAGACAATGTGTTTAGATCTGAATGACTATGAAAGGAAACTTTGCCTACTTGTTTTTAGAGACATTGTTGAAAGAGAAGGGTATTGTCAGAGTAAGGGGGCTGTAGAGGGAATCACAAAGAATCGATTCCACTTGGCTAGCCCAAATCGAGTTCTCAAAAGATTTGCTGAGGTGGAAGCAGCACAAGGATGAGGGCGGGAAGAAGATGGGGGTGGTATGAAATGAAGTCCTGTCGGGAGGACAATTCGGATGATGTCAAAAATTAGTGGTATAGGAAAGTATGGTAGCAAAAAAGGAAAAGAGGTTAGTAAATGAGGTAGAATGAATTGAGTGAATTGCATTGTATCTGTGACTGGGGAAGGAATACGGAGGATGAGAAATGGGGACTGGGGAAGGTGGTGAAGGAACAGGGACATTGTTCAAGGAAAACAGTGGTGGCTGCTGGAGAAGTAGAATATGGAGGATGAGAAATGGGGACTGGGGAAGGTGGTGAAGTATCAGGAAGAATGTCTGGAGAAGGACACTGTTGTGATAGAGGGGATTCATGTGAGTATTCAGGGAGGAGCAGTAGAGGAGGTGGGGTATGTTGGGAGGGTGTAGGAGTAAGGGGGGTGGAGGGAACATGAGGAGGAGGAAGGATATCTGCAAATGCTTTAAATGCAGGAGTAGGAACAGATTGATTGGGAGGTGGATTAAGGAGCATCTTTAGGAAGTTTTGGATGTCTTCAAGAGATTCTGGAGGGGAGTTGGGTGAAGAGGACTGAGAAACAAAAGTTCTTGTGAGGAGGAGAAGAGGAAACAGATATATAAGGAGCAGAAGAGGAATGTGTAAGAGAGGGTGGAGTGGAATGTTTAGGTTGCTTGGTGCAACAAATAATGTGACGAGGAGGGGTAGGTCTTGGGGAAGTGGTAGAGACTGGAGTATCTAGATTTAGACTGTAAAACAATGTTGATTGGGGGATAGGGTGAGCAGAGGTAGGATGGTTTAGGATATAAAGAAGAGATACTGGGGAGAAGCAGAAACATCTTGTGTAGATGGTGGGGGAGCAGAGTGAAGGACTGTTTTAGAACAAGTTGAGAGAGAGAAACCTCATCGTGCTTCTTGTCTGGCCTCACGTAGAGTTAGGCCTTGGTTGAATCTGAGGACTACTACCTCATATTTGAGCTTATAGGCAGGGCAACTCTTATAAAATACATTATGGGAGGCTCCACAACTGGCACCTGCACATGCCTGAGCAGAGGAATTTGAACGGTCATGACCAGGTTGAGCAGCAGGCGGTGGAGCGACAATGTTTGGCTGGGTGGCCAAATGCCAACATTTCTGACATTGACAAAGAAGGGTTTGATATGGTCAGACAATCCACCAATATAATGGTTAATGGTTAAAATAAATGTGCTAGACATCTAAGGTCATATTCCACCAATATAAATATAAACTTCATGGGGGATGTCATGTCTACAGAAGCTAAACCTCCTCTGGCCTCTGGGAGGAATAATGTAACAGTGCCACAGGTAGGGGTGATCCCCTTCCTTGGGCCTCAGTCTGTCTCCTAAGCCCTCCCACGATGAGCAAGGTATTGGGAGGGTATATTGTAAGAACAAAACATGATCTACTGTTTGCAACATACAACAGTTGCTGTGGGAAGTTCAAATTCTTAAATCAAAATTTGTATGTCCATAGCAAAAAAAAATTTTTTTTTCTCTTTTTTTGCTAATGCTCACCACTTCAGCATTTTCTACCTACTAAAATGTTAATTGCCTATCTTGTATACAGAAGTGGTCAACAAATGAAATAAAAGTACTATTACATATAGTGAAACAAAAAGTAGTTCTATGGAGTAGCTTCAAATCTGCAATTCTAAATAAGGAGATAATAGGACTCTTGAGTGATCCTATACTTCATAAACAGTAGCAGCAGTAAAGAAAATATATATCTACATAATAAAAATAATCATCAATCATCAATAATAATAATAATTGTAATTTATTATAATTATTAAAACCATAAAACAGATTAATTGAAATTAAGTGAAGAAAAAAATATTTCAAATTCATTTCGTTCTGATGAGAAATTAAAGAGCCTTGTCCTCGTCTTTCTCAATCTTTCTGGAAATAAGAAACAATTAACTTGTCAAAGGTAAATAAAAGGCAAAGCTCAATTTGTCTGAATTCACTTAGTGCATAACTGTAGAACATAATAAATAGAAATTGTTAGCAGATCACATAGATAATATTCAACTTATAATTAGTTAGGTGGGGAGGGATGAGAAATAGACAAAAAGCTTCATATTTTTTTTCCAAGTTATACTATATCTATGTGTCCTGTTAACTAAGTTTGGACTTGTAATATTCAACTCATTACATTATTCGTTTTTTTCTTCTTTTTTCATTTTTTTTTTTTTTTTTAACTTTAACATGAACTGGAGATTGTACACATAGGGCTTGATGCAAATACCACATTGTGTAAGTTACAGCCATAGTCACATGTAGGGACTGAGTGCTGCAATTTATTCAAGAAAAATACATGCATACAGTGCGCAAAAACATGCAAATACACATTCTCGAGTATTTTGCAGAAGTCAGTCCCTAAACAAGTAAGTCACTGTGGAAACAACACTGATGTAGTAGAACTGTCTTTATACCATGAAAAAATTAAATAAATAAAAAATAATAATAATGAACAAAAACAAAATATATATTTATAAAAAAAGGTTGTGTGTGCCCTTATGAAATCCAGATTCTGATGGTTCCTAACAGTAAGTTGTATCTTCTCAAATAGCACTTGCAATACATTATAAAGAGATTTAGATATTTTCACAAAAATGGCAATTCTCTAATATCAGGGACATACTGAACTCATTGAAAATTACAACATGCTTGAATGAGTTCCATGCATTCCATGATACTAAGAAATTTTTCTTACACAATAATGACAATAGACAAGAACTATTTGAGCTGCACAATCTCTTAAAAACTGGATTGAAAAGACCAGTTACTCAAAACATGTGTAACACCCAAACAGAGGTGACACTATCCTTGGGAGTTCTGTCTTCAGAACTTACCAGTTGTTTGGAGTGATACAGTTTCTGAAAATACCAACAGCACCATGTGGTCACCATCAGATCATCTACAGCCAATCCATTCCAAGGAATTATAAGCACATACTCATTCCTTCTTGAGAACTTGTCCTTACTTGTAAATTATAATGCAAAGAAAATCTTTGACGTCCAGCATACCATGAACCCTCAGGCCTCATGAAGCATTTACAAACAGCATTGCTAATTAAGTTCACATGATGAGCAATCATTTGGCATTTCTACATCCACTGTACAAGGTGACACCCTTTCAAACTTCAAATTCAACATATCAACTTTTCCTTGACCTAGTACAAAAAACTACACTACATTAGACCAGTCTTGCCAGCAGATTAACATGACAGGTGGATTTTGCTTATCTATTGGTCATACAAAACTGGAACACATGTCTCTCTAACAGAACTCATTTCTTCTACTTGTAAAACTGTTATCTCTGCTCAGAAAGCAATGCAACGACCTGACTTGGTAGAGACCACATAGGCTGCTGGTGAACAAAAACCAACAGCACACAGACAGATGACATGTACACAGCTCCAAATTTGCTTGCTCTAACTGAATACAAGAGAGCAGTGATTCCTGTGTTCAGTTACTGCAAATTTGGATTGGAATTATTATTAATACTTTTTTTTCAAGATATGACTGTGACTTTGTTCATCTTCCTGAGTGCTATCTCATGCGTACAATGGGCTTCTGTCCCTAGCCCACACCACGTTAACATCAGCTTCGGAGTAACAAAAAAGTTCAACCTCACTGACTATCATTGTGTGGGCTTTAGCCATCCTTGGGTTCATTTACAATAATTGATGGGGAATGCATGCTCAGATCAAATGTAGGTTCCCTTCTCAGATATAACTGCTGAACATAATTGTTCTACTTAAAACATTTTGATCTTTTTTAGTTTTACCAGTGAAAACAATAAGTTTCTTGGCACAGTGTGTCACTATAGCTCCATGTAATCACTCCCTCTGAAACATGACTGGCAAGCCAATTCATCTGATGACCTTTCTTGACCCAAGGAGGCCCATCTCTACAGCCAGCAATCATCCAGTATCTATACTTTGCATTTAATTAATGAATGCCCATTAGATAAGAGAATTAATGTACGTAACAGCTTATTGGGTAAAGCATTATTAAGTTGCAGAATGGAGTAATTTGCAAGGGTTGGAACATCTTAATGAAGCTTAATACCTACTGACATGCACAACTATGCTGTAATTAAACAGAGCATATTTGCACATTTCAAATTACATGCTGATTTTTCATCCTGTTGTTTTTTCATTTTATTTTTTTCTTATTTTTTACTAAAAGACAATAAGAGCAGATAATTGTGGAAATGGTAAGTGGTGATGAATGTCTACCCAGAGTCCACCCTGGCAACGTACTCCACAACTGACACCTACACCTGGACCTGGACCATGACTACGGTACATTTAATGTCAGGAGGCCACGCACTGGTTGACTTTTACTCCATCTTTGCACTGATGGTGCGGTGTCCTTCGATACGCAAACCTAATTTTCTGAAACAACAAATGGCCTACAATAATTGTACTAGAGGTAAGAATGTCAGGTACTATTTTGACTACCTTTACACCATTCACATAACCTGCAACATGGAGGCCAAGTCAGCCAGCGTGTGCTCTTCTGTAACACTTCACTATTTCTATGCAAAGTATAGCAGATGCACACAACGAGAGCAAACTCAGACCAGGATATCTGTGGGGTCAAAATGATATTTTTGAGTCAGGCAGGGAGAGGAGATAATGGCAACCTTGTAAATGGCTAAAGGCACAAACAGCAATGTACCTTCAATATCCAATATAAGAGGTTATGTACTACAGCATTAAGGAAATTAAATTAAATTGACTTTAATGAGTCTGAGTCATTCAAAAGAATGACCTCTATTTAGCCGATATTCCATTACATTCACAACGCCCATGATCTTTGGTACAGAGACGACCTGTACATACCTCTCCCTTTGCCTGAATTACCAATTCCTGCATGTTGACCACAGGTACCACAGACATCTTGCTTCATTCTGGTCCGAGTTCCTAATTTTTTTTCGTTACCTCCTGAAAACCCAAGGGCAACTTTTTTTGTCATCCTTTCCAGAAAGACTTTTTTCATTTTTTTGGTTTGCAACACATCTGTGATGCAATTTTTTCTCTGTTTTTTTTTGGGGGGTTAGGTAAATATTCTACAGGGTGTTGAATTCTCCACCAGTTACCACAGTCACTCCAGCTCGAGTCCACAACTGGTGAGTCACTGATTGTACAAGGGAATACTCAACACCGGGTTTTACTTCTTGTCGTGAAATTTAAAAAAGGCTCCCTCCATACTTGTACCTTCCATCAAATGACCCCCTTCTCCCTAACACAAAGTTTACTTATTGGTCATAATCCTTAGGTATTCCAGGGCGTTGTGAGCAGCAGCAGACTGTGCCTCCTTCACATTGGCTCCCGTGCCATAGCACACGGCAACTGGCAGAGTTGACAGCTGAACCAAACACTGATGCTGGCCTACATAACATGGAGTAAAATCAAATGATTACTATAAAAAATAGAAATGTATACAACTACCCAATATAATCATGAGCCCAATTTTTATTCAAACATGCCACCTTAGACTTTTTCTGCCAAACTATTTCAGTCATTTGCTTTTTATCAATACACAGATCTTACCTGAGACAGACAATTCCTCAATGTCAACATATGTGACAACAAAGTTAGCTTCCTGGGCAATATCTTGGAGCATCTGGACAAAGTTAAGGTTCACGTTGCTCAGCGAGATTGTCTGGAGAATAAGGTTAACTTCTATAGTGATGAATAAAATAATGAAACAATAATTCAGCTTACATTATAATAATAGAAAGAACAATAAATGTTGCAGTACAGTATGCATATTGATACCCTCTAAAATAGTAACACAGATATTCCTAAACTTGAAAAATTATGCTTCTACAGAAATTCATAAAAAATAAAATAATGTATATTCTTCTAAACTCATATAAGTACCTATATATGAATAATCAGTGTGTGTAAGAGTGAGTGAGTGAGTGAGTGTGGTGTAGTGAGTGAGTGTGGGTGTGAACGCATGTGAGTGTGGGGTGTGAACCGTGAGTGAGTGAGTGTGTGAACGCGTCAGTGAGTGAGTGTGCGCGTCAGTGAGTGAGTGTGAGTGAGTGAGTGTGTGATGTGTGAGTGAGTGAGTGAGTGAGTGAGTGTGTGTGTGTGTGTGTGTGTGTGTGTGTGTGTGTGTGTGTGTGTGTGTGTGTGTGTGTGTGTGTGTGTGTGTGTGAGTGAGTCCATCAATCAGTCAGTCACTTTCTCTCTCTCTCTAAGGTGCCTCACTGGAGGTTAAAGCCCCTGGAAGCTCATAGATTCTAGCATTTTAAATACCAAAACACTGCCTTTTTTTCTGAATGCTTAAAATCAGGTAAATTTGTGGAAAATTTATCCCAATCACAGGCTGCCTTCTGCCTGGCAACTGAAGGATATGTGTCTTTGTAAGTGAGTGAGGGAGAGAATAAGTGTGAGTGAGAGTGAGTGAGTCTGTCTGTCTGAATCTATCTAAGGTGCACCACTGGAAGCTCATGGATTTTGGTATTTGAAGTACCCAAACACTGCCTTTTACTTGTATGACTGCTTTAAATCTGGTAAATATGTGGAAAATCAATCCCAATCTCATGCTGCCTTCTGCCTGGCAACTTAAGAGAGCCATAGGGGCATTATATCTGCCTAAACTGTCTTCAATATCTTAAATGTATACATTATTTTCTCCCTTTTTACATGTACACAAAATACCCTATAAGGATTTTCCATTGAAACATCCAAGATGAATGGCCTATAAATGGGATGAAATAGTAAGTCTATAAAATTAAAAATTAGATAAGATTTCCCCAGATGGGGTGCAGAGGCACAGATTAATAATAAGGCTTTTCAAGTAATTCTATGAAGATACCCTCAAAATTTGCAAGTACACAAACCTGTGGAAAACTCATCCATGTATAAATGATGCAGGGCATCAAACAAATTAAATAAAGACCTTGAGATGAGAACAGTCAATTATAAACACAAGGAGCACAGCACTG